TTTATTTTCCATAATTTATTTTCAATAAAATTGAACTGGACTCAGGCTAATGTAGAATAAATTTTAATATTTACATAGCAGAATAACGTTCTTTCTAACGAATATTTTATTATCAAAATAATATCTTTAATCCTCTGCAACTTCTGATTCTAGATTTCAATAATTAAATTTTAATTGGACGCGTATACACGAAGGGAAATGAATCAAACAGATTTATTTCATTGAATAATGCTTGAACAAATAATGAGTACATAGGTGGTACAAGAAGAACGTGTTATTTGTAACTCGTCGAACAAATACCTCGCTCGTGCACCTTGCGAAATTAATATTGGAAACTCGTATCTTAAAATGTATTTCAATTGCGCTGAAATTATCTATGAATTAATTTTATGAAGTGCGTTCACTACTTTCTCCGATATTTTATTCGATTTTCCATCTAGACCTGCACGTATTCAATTTTTTAAAAGGTCGTGTCGTTCCATTTACATTTACAGCGTGATAAAACCACAATTGCCATCATCGTGTTTATACTACGAACATGATAGGATCGAAACAAGTAATATCTTTTGCCATTGGGCGATCGTATTTTTAACAATTGGTAAATAAATCGAAATACGTGCGATACTTCGTATTTCGAAAAACTGAAACCTTTCATCGCGAAGCTCCAAAAATTAGGTCGAGCTTGTGGTTTCACGTTTTCAGCTGGTTTCGAATTTTGAGCTTCACGGATAGTCGAAGACAACCGTGTTCGTTATCTCAAATACACGCATTGACCTGCAAACCACAGGCTGGCGGAGTTGCAAACGATATCCATTTGCGAAAATTAAACCTGGATACAAAAAGAATTCGTCGTTCGCCTCGCCTCGCCGGTTCGATTGATTTGAAAGGTTCGAGTTCAAAATCCGGCTACGCGAACGTTTCAACGCGCATGCAACACGAATTTTCATTCTTCTATCATTGCATCGTATATCAGTTTCTTTCTATCAATTCTTAATTATCGCCGATTGACGTAGAGTCGAACAAATAAAAATTTATTAACAAATTTCTCTTCTCGTGTTCTCTTATCGAAATCAATTTTGATCACGATGTGGACGTCACTTAACGTCGTCCCTGACCGCCACTGTTATCATGTATCCGATGCTTCATTGACCACATCCTAACCTACGTCACACGCGGTTGCGTGTGCACCTGCATACGCGCGGATCCACGCTCAACACACGCCCACGCGTACACACGTGGGAAGAGTAGTTCGTTACACGGCACGTGTTGTCCCGTGGCAACACGTACCCCGGTGAGATTGCTACTCTTAGTCACTCGCTTTACGCCTACGTAAATAGGGGTGCTTCCGGGAACGAAAACGGTTTATCGCGGTAGACTGTAATAGTAGATCCGGATAACACTGATCCAAGGTGGCATGCTCGCACCTCCACCAGGTCATCCCATTAAACGCAGATAATCCGAGCATATTAAATAACGGAGAAAGCGAAATACAGATGTTTCTTAATAATTCGATACTTGAGCTAAAGCGATACTTAATTTTCTGAAAAGTGTTGACTTCGGGAAACGAGTTGAGGTATTAGCAGGAAATTGCAATCGACATAGTTCCTAAAAACGTTTAGGAACTAAATTCTTGGTGGGAAATCGGTCGAAGTTGGCTGACCGCAATCTTTCTTCGAAGTTCTATTCTTAAAAGGAACAATCTCCGTGAGGGGAGTATTGCGTCCGATAACTAATTCAGAACAAGAAGCGATACACTTTGCGCGATATGAATTTTTCAAATGATCAAACCGACGTGGTGTCCTCTTATTTGATTTTTGCAGTATCACAGCTGTCGGGTCGGTTGAGTGTCTTAATATTTCAGTTGGGAGATCTGCATCTTTCTTGCTCCCTTTGGTGCCGTTAATCTTCCGTTGCCGGCCGCCTGAACGCGCGTCGAATGCGTTATTCAGCTCATCCGATGGGCATACAGTAGACGACGTAATTAAGGCAAAGTCCAATTATATCCGTTGCAAAGTCGCGTTTCCCTACTATGAAATCCTGTTCGAATGAAGATATGTTATCAATTCGCTAAAGGACTTTATACACGGTGGTAGATTGGATTCTTAAGTCCGGGAGACAATTACGGAGTAGATTAGGCATCGACAGGCAATCGTACTTTCCCCGATTTTTAATATCAGCGATTGCTCGCAATCTATTTTGTATCGCGGCGTGACGGAGAGTCAGTGGACGATACGAAATGTTAAACGGGGAGGATTTATAAAGTGACGGTTTTTTCCACACGTACCGTTCGCCGACGACACATTTAACGACCGCGACTAACGTTTAGTCGTGGGTACAAACACGTGAAAATTTCTATAGGCCGTTACACACACGGCGGTTAGGCACGCTTTATGGCATCGTTCGAGCGACAAATTGTACTAAAAATAACCGTTTGCGCTCAGTTGCCACCTGACTATTCGTGCGTGCGAAGGTGGCCTCGAACCGGCCGTATACAACCGCGGCCTCCCTTTGAAGCATAGACGATTGGACGTCTCGGGGCTTGCGAATTACGTAGCCAGCTACGTTTTTTTACGGCATGACCTACCTTCATGTCGCGTGAAACCCATCCCCCTCTGTGCCCCGGCGGATTTATTTGGAACACTGTCGTCGAGCCGATCGGCGAAAGTATCGGCTCGTTGAGAAATTAACCGTGTTCGCCGGAGAGAACGCTCCTCTTTTACCACACCGCTTTATCCCTCCTGGAGAGGGTGGTTTTATGAAATCTTCTATTTAAATTGAATCTCTTTCTCTCAATGCATTCATAGAATCCCACGAGATCGAATTGATAGAAGACATTATGCTTGAGAGTTGATTTGGGATTTATATGTGTCTGATCACGTAACTTCCATTTCTCCTTCGTCGGGACGGCATTACTTTAGAATTTAAGTATGTATTGACTATACAGTCAATCCCAAAAGTTTATGTATCTTAGAAAAACGCATTCCCTATAATTAAAAAGAAATCAGATGTCGGAGGAATAATGCTAATAATAAATAGCTACGTGCTAAAAAGTATAGAAGGAAATATCCAATTAAGTATTGACGCTGACAAANATTCTAAAAAGCGTCAGAAGTTCCAGATTTTTTGGCTTTTATTCCCTCAAGTCAGTTATTTTTTCCAAATTCGCGCTTGTACACCAAATTTTGAACAATTTTGAACATAATTATTAGCAGTCATATAGTTTACCAGTTGCAACAGTAGTGATTAAATATTCTATTTGGCGTGCTATCATTTGAAATCTGAACACTCCGGAAGGATAATATTTCCATAACAATGCACAGACATATTTTTTATCATTTTGAAGCACGTTGCGTTATCGATTACTCGCTTAAATTTGAACAATATTCGTAGGTACGCGTAACGAAATCCAATGAGCGTATAATGCTTCATTACGCGTGATGACGGCGATGAAATTAATTTACAAAATTTCGCACATCGAGTTTCATCTGAACGCTGTCGCAAGAGGGTGCGTAAATTCGTTCGTCCACTTCTTTTTGTTCATTTCGAGCTTCCGATTCTTGCATTATTAATGATGCAAAATATAAAAAACATTTTCTTCACGAAATGTCGTGGGTTATAAGTTCACATTTATTGTTTCTTTTTATCACATTTATTAATCATTTTTTATGAGATATAGGCAGATGAAATTATGCTATAATCGTCGGTCACCTAATTTTCTGAAATTCATTTATAAACGGCGTCAAATCTTCGGTCGATAATCTTCCGCTCCTCTGTCACTGGACGTCGCTTCATTTGCGACCGGTATTTTCTTTGTTCCCCACCCACGCGTCGGTAAGGAAAGAAGGGTGTAAGCGGGTTCGAAATGTCGTTCATTATGCTCACGAGCGGCCGCCTTTCGGCGCGCT